CGCTTCTTTCAGCTAAGGAATGAAATTGATATATTTCTTACCGAGAAAAACTATCACGAACCACTTTTATCAGATACCAAGTGGGTTTGGAAATTAGCAGTTTTGCTGATCTGGTGAACCATTTGAATTTAAAGTTGCAGGGTGAAAATAACTTAGTCTGTGATTTATTTGCACTTATCAAGGCATTCAGAGCAAAGTTCATATTTCTGTTATTTGGTTTTTGGGTAGTGAAGGTGTGAAACCTACTGAAATTTATCGAAGAATGAAGTTTCAGTATGGTGATGCATGTTTGTCACAGCAGCAAGTGTATGAATGGAGTAGGAAGTTTGCAAATGTTGTGACTTCAGTGGAAGGTGCTCCTCGTCTGGGTCAGGCACATCGAGTTGTGACTCCAGAGAACACTGCAGCAGTTGAAGCCATAGTGAGGGAAAACCACCAAGTCACACTGAATGAAACTGCAGCAAGTTTAAACATTAGTCATGGTTCAGCACACCACATTGTGGACGATGTACTCCAGTTTCACAAAGTGTCTGCAAGACGGGTGCCATGGCAGCTGACTCCTGAATTGAAAGACCGACGTATTGATGCTTGTGAAGAACTTCTGCGGCGCTTTGAACGAGGTGACTTCCTTGCAAGAATCGTTACTGGGGATGAAACCTGGGTTCACTTCCACCAACCAGAAACAAAGAGACCGAGCAAGGAATGGCACCATTCCGCATCTCCAAAACCGAAGAAGTTTCGAACACAACTATCAGCAGGGAAGGTTATGCTGACTCTCTTTTGGGATGAAAAAGGCGTCATCTTGGAGCACTACACGCCTAGAGGGACCACTGTCACCAGTGCATCATACTGAGATCCCCTAAAAAGCATCTTCATCCTGCAATCAAATCAAAGTGACGTGGATTGCTGTCCACAGGTATCCTTTTGCAATATGACAATGCAAGGTCCCATACTGCCCGTACAACAGTTGCAACAATCAATGACCTGCATTTTGAGTGTCTTCCTCATCCGGCATACTCACCAGACCTTGCCCCAAGTGATTTCCATATGTTTGGACCACTCAAAGAAGCAATGGGAGGAAAGACGTTCCATTCTGATGAAGAGGTACACCACGCGGTGCGACTGGTTGCGCGGACTGCCAAAAGAATTTTTTTTCTAAAGGAATTCATGCACTTTGTAAGCGCTGGAGGACTTGCATTGGGCGTGGGGGAGATTATGTTGAAAAGTGATACAGCTTTGTACCACTAGTGCACAATAAATAATACTCAAAAAAATATTTAATGTTTTCATTTGACTCACCTACATACATTAAATCCTCAATTTTTTGCAATTCTTACATTTTTAATAACAGAACAGTTCAACAGTATTGTGACATATTTGCGCTATGCAAGACACCCCCTCCCCCGCCAGCGGTGACGTAACAGCATCGGAGCGTTGCCGCTGCTACGGTAACAGATCAGTCAACACTCCGCCCCTCTGATGCAGTTACTTCACCGATGGAGGGGCGGAGTGTTGACTGGCCTGTTACCATAGCAGCGGCAGCACTCCAAAGCTGTTATGTCACCGCTGGTGGGGGAGGGGGTCCTGCATAGCGCAAATATGTCACAGTATCATGGAACCATTGTCATAATGCTTTTAACATTCTTCTGGGTTGCGACACAGCAGTCTGGTAGAAGTCCTTTGAAAAAAGCCTCAACCCTGACGACAGAGGCTGTGGGTTGTACCAAACTACACAGCATCACATCCCAGAAGATAGTACAGTACTTTCCACAGCACTGAGAACCTCAAATCCAAAATTTGTCTTCTTTCACTTCAAGTAATTCTACAGCCAATATATAAACATAAGAATTTATATTCTTAGTCACAATTTTGGTGTTTAAATATAGAGAAATGATAAAATAAGAACCAGTATATTTCATGAAATTTATTTTATTTAACAAAACTTGCAGTAGCTCAGACCACAAAGCATTAAACTGTGTTTAGTGAATAATGAATTGGAAATTACTTTGATGGAAATGGTCATGGCTCAAGTTAAAGTACTATCCTGGTATTTGCCTAGAAGGACTCATGAAAACAAAGAACAATCTCAGTCAGGATAATGGGTGTCCTGGCTGGGATTCACCTGGTTCACCTTCCCAGTACTAGTCAAAAGTTTTAGCATTTGGGTCAATTTGCTCAGTTTCATGCAATTAATTCTATATGTCAAAGATGATACCAACAAAGTGAGAAACTAACACCAAAGACTGAATGGAATGGAAGTAAATACTAAATCCAAAGGCAGTGGATGGTGGGTGGAGCAGACAGGGAGATGCAAATGGGCAGAGATCAGTGAGACATCTCTGTCATGGCTACATGTCATGATCTGTGACTTAACCTTGCAACCAAACAAGACTGGGTGTTGTACCAAACTGAATTAGTAAATATATAAAATAAATACAAGAACAATTTATATTTTATTATCAATTAACCGCATACAAGCAGAGTAGATACAATATTTTTCAGGATGTAATGTTTTCATAAAAATCATGCACACAAATTTTAATCACAAAAATTTATTTTAACACGTTACAAAAAGTAGGCATAGCTTAAATATTTTGGTTTTTCCCTTTTGCATAATTACCTAAAATACTTGTTCAAAACATATTTTCCCCCAGTAAATATTCAGAAAGTTACCCTCAAGATGCATACAAAGTCTTCACACATACTGTCCAGTTTCAACTAAAACCGGAATATATCGAAAAACTTAGGACAACTCTACAATATCAAATTTTACGAAAACCTCTTCACTGCAAACAAGCCAAAAAAAGTGCACAAAATACACAACGAAATACCGTACATGTGCAGACATGAAGTACTGCACTAATGTCCATGGCTAACATGAAGTTCCTTTACTAACAGTGAAAGGATTAATAATAAAACCTAAGTACACATATATTATAAAAATACTGATGTGCTGACCCAAGAACAAAGCACTATCTTCAACTGAGAGAGTATATTCTGACTTCAAAGCAATACATAAGGGTTACTACACAAAGACACCACACACTTCATTCCTTCTGCAATTTTTTATTATCTTATGTCGCTGTAAACCTAATAACTGCCTTTAAATGAAAATTTAATTTTTGTTTAATAAATTTCTGCTCAGAGAACCTCTTTCAGGGACACAAGATTTGAGATTTTCACAGCTGTGGAGATCCATTTTGTGATCTGGGTTATGACACTGTATACTCTGGTAGGTGGTTATCAATATTTTGGATGAAGAAATTGCCTTCATTTCGAGGGTAAAGAGGCTACTATAAAAATTGAAGCAGTATGTTCTTTGGAAATGTTTGTAACCACCTTACAAAGCATTATATCCAAGGAGACTACAAACATGAACTTTCAACAAATGCATTCCTTTTGTAAAATGCATCGGCATATTTGTAAATTTTACTGGCAATACTGTTTTCCTGATAATTTCACTTTTACGAAAATGATTTTTCAATGTAGGATATGGGGGTCCTCAGCAGTAATGGTTATAAGAAGTTCAGTCTTCTGGGATATAGCTCCATATAGTCCAGTGAAAGTCCGCAGTGTTGGCTGCCTTTCAAAGGACTACACATTGTCATATCCCAAAAGATAGAACTCTTCACGGGTTCTCTGACTACATGAAGGCATGCTTTGCAGTTTTATTCCATATGCACATTAAATATTTGTCTTAACACATTTGGCATTGTGGAACTCGACATCAAACTTCACCTTCCACTCTTCTCTGCTGCTAGAGCTTCCAATTTCCTGATCAGTGGTCCCATGTCGGCATTTTTAGACAATTTCAGGTAATTTGTCTTCCTTATGTAATGAATTTCCAGCCAACCTGGGGCAGTCTTTCTGAGAAGGTGTATATGCTCTTCCAGTTCCGCTATAAAATGGACAACTTCTAATAAATTTTAACCATTCTCATTCTATTGATACAGCAAAGTGTAAAACTAATAAAACACTTTCAAGAATACCACTTGGAAATCAGTGATCTAATGATAAGGTCTGGGATAAGTGGAGCTCTACCTCTTATATGTCCAGATACTTAGGCTGGCATTATTGCTACTTTACCTCTTGGAAGTTTCTCCCTGTAGCTGTTCCCTAGTTTTTCAAGCACGAAGTCAAGGGTCAAAATACTTTTCTTTTCAGTGACATAGAGATTCCTCAAGATACGGGCCAGCTCTGGGAGGCGTAAGTGCTGAATTGCCATATGGTCCTGTGCTGGTGAGCGTGTCATGGCCTGTAGAGCCTTAGCTGCCTGTCTTGCTCGTATCTAATGCACAAAAAATGAAAAGTTCAAGGGATATTTAAACTTACAATTCTAGATTACACTAAGGAGCTGATACATGGCAAGCATATTGTGAAATCTAGAACAATGCATCAAATATTCTGAAGGGCACAAACCTTTTCTAAAAGGGCCTTAGGAATGCCTTTGAGGATTGTTGAAACAGGCGATGTTGCAGAGCCAGAAATTAAAGGAAGTGATTTTGTTGGAGTGGCTGGTATCTCTGACTGACTGGATTTCTCACACACTGTCTGCAGCGCCTTCTCCATTCGCAGATTACAGCTGAAGAGATTCCTGGCTTTCTCTGCAACGATGAAAAAATTTAATTGCGTGAAAGTACCATTTAAGCTTCTTGAAGTGATACATGGAAAAAGAAAATATGAGGAGAGAATAAGGAAAGTTCTTGATATTGTCACAAGTGTATTTATTTATTGCCATGGACATAAAAAGAGAAACATTATTGAAGATAAAATAGGACAATGGATAACTGAAGCAGAAATAATTTTAATATTCAAATGGGTTATTTATTTCATATATGTAATATTGGATGATTTAAAAACATAAGATATTCTTTGTAACTGTATATTCATATTATAATTCACAATTTATTATTTAAGTTTTTACAAAAAGGATGTAACCACATCCATGGTAAATAATGTGTGCAATTATGCAACCTATTTTTGAAAGAATAATCTGCCAATTTTCTCATGTCACTACCTACCAAGTACGTCTTTGGCTGAACAATATTTGTCTACATTTGGAGCTTCAGGAAGTGTATCAGGTTCAATGTCTGGGACTTGGTCAACGCCAAATTCTGGATGCCATCGAGTCAGCTGATCACGAGGAATTGTCAATGGTGGGTTGAGGCTTTGTAAGAAATCCTGCCAAGATAAAAATACTCATTAGTTCTCTTTACTAACATGACAAATATGCAAATATAAAAGGTACATAAAATGCCAGAAAGCCTCTGTGATTCCAGGCTCACATTAAGATGAATGCCCCCTCAGTCAATCACCTTCATAATCACCCTGTCACTGAGTGTAACAGAATCCACCCTACGGGCACCTCCTGGGCTGGTAGAAGAGTGGAGGCATGTTAACTGGTTGTCAAGCATGGTACAATTTTAGAGACAGTATATTTTATAAACCCACCCTCTATTATTCTTATTAAATAAAATTAATTTATCCAAATCTTCTGCTCATATCATGACCTTTTATTTAAGCTGATTAATGACATCATATCTGGCATGACCATTAATTGACAGTAATCTACATACATTGTGCAACAATCTTCCCAAAAGACACTAAATGACGGTTTTGCCACAGTGTATGGAGATTTTGTTTTATTATTGTAATTAATATTTAAGAAAATAGATTTGTTTTTAACTTGGGGGTGGGGGGGTCAGAATTTCTGCAAACTCTTGGTCTCCACCCCCCCCCCCCCCCCCCCCTCACCCACCATCTTTCTACACCCCCGCACTGCCAAGCATAAACGCCACGAA